AATTTATTCAGTTACTCGGTTGGACCTCGGGATATTCTGTGACCCTACGGGAAGAACAGTAACTTTTTTAGAAAGAATGAAACTTCAAACAAACGTGGATCAGAAAACTTTCGACAACAGTTAACACTAAACAAACATTTACCTGATCTATCTATCTATCTATCTATCTATCTATCTATCTATCTATCTATCTATCTATCTATCTCTATCTATCTGGCCTTTGCAGAATTTCTTGCACGGTCGGCTGCTGCGACAAAAAGCCAAAACCGCCAGGATTACGAATCGGTCCCTTTTAAATGTGGACAGATAGCATTATTTGAGTTCCTTTGCTTATATACGAAGGCAGCTCAGTCTGGAACTGAAAAATTCAACTCACAAAATTTCGCTCTCAGTACTTACCATCTTGCCAGGTGGTCATCCAGTGGTTTTGTCTGAAAAAGAAACAAATTATTTGAACCGACCCTGGCGTTCTTTGACTATAGGTACAACACACAGAATTTTCGCATAATATTTTATGTCGTTTAACAGCTACCTTTAGAACTCACATTGTCTAAGATCGCTAAATGACCTTCCAAGTATGTCCCCATTTCCTCAAGCAAATCGCGAACTTGGCCATCGGAAAATGTGAGCTGCGAAATGAACAATTGTGCGATAAGCTTCGAAAAACGTCTGAAACTATCGCAACTCGAAAGTTCAGTTGTACATATCAGCTGTCATACCGTTGTTTGCTCTCCTGGTTCTTGTGCTGATGTCGGACTGACCTTTCAGCTCCCTTGCTTTTACGTTTTTGGTCTCGCGTCAGCCGAACTTAACAGTGATGATATTTTATCAAACGAATAAATTGTACATTTTATCCGCTGGGAAGTGACTTGATTGACTTCGGTTATAGGAAGGTATGTTACGGAACTATTTTATGGAAATTTTGCTGGCTTATAAACTTTGCACTCGCCAATCATAAGCTCAGTATGACGTACAAATATATCGCTCCAAAAAACAAGCAAGACAAAACAGGCAAGATCTCAACAACAACACTTGGAGGGATGTGGCGCCGTGTTTTTTTTTACCAGCTTCAATGGTAAGGTTATTTTATATTGTACACCTATTTCTACAATTTGAAGACCACACAACGTTTCTCATGTACTGTTGTATACAAACTTCATTAGACCTTTGATCTGAAGACCTGAGAGATGATAATAAGATTAACCTTTAAAACACATGAAGAATGAAGAGTGTTTCTGCAATGTGCAGTCACAGTCCTGCACGTGTCAACGTATCACGTTGTAACTAGTCTCTACCATTAACTTTGCAAACAATTGTTTTCACCTCAGTGCCTCAAGTACCAGAGATGCGTAAATCGTTTCTTCTGTTAAAGAGCACCAAATTTTTTGCCTCATTAGAGCTCTTTCTTTAATCAAGGTATTTAATACTTGCTTTTATCAACTGAGTCGATGATGTGAATTTTCACCCAAGAGCCATTCTAAAGAAGATGTTTCTCGAGCGTTCGCCTTTGTCAGCCAAGTCACGTTCTCAACTCAGTTTATTAAAAACCGATTAATCTGATTACGTAATCATTTGTGTCCGTGTGCTCCCCTCGAGGGTCCCATTTTCTGTTTTTGTTTTTGATCTTGACTTTAGCATAACATTGAATAATTAAATGGTGCCTTATCCAAGTGGTATTTTGATTAAAATAAGAGATAACATTTTTTTATCACATCCTTTAGTGCGTCTTTGTTTGAATAAACGGATTACTAATCAATAAGTTGCATAGGCTATAAACAGTCTCAAATCTAACAAGAAGGAGTCGAATGATCACTTTTATCTCAAAAGATTTGAAACTTCTTTTCAATTTTGCATAAAATTAAAGTTTACAAAATCAGGTAGTTCCCTCGAAGAATGTTGTAGAAAAGATAGTGTTTATCTTTATTTTCCATGGTTATAACCATTTATCTTGGTTTTGCACGTTAGACTAAGGTAACAAAGTATATGCCACGTTGTATGCAGTGCACCCGTAATTCTTATCTAATTCCAAATGAGCCACCACGGTTTTTTATATATATTGACGTGTGCAGTTTCACTTTGCTGAAAAGTTTCCGTAGAATTTGGCCTCGAGGCTTCAAAATTTTACATATTGTTTTTCTGTCCGTGGCGATCGAGACATACCCTTGGCGCCTAAAATGATAATTCAATATAACAAACGAGAATCTTTTAAAAAACAATGAATGAATAGGCTCTTTCAAGCGACGAAAATAGCTTTGGATACTCAGACGATACAAGCGAACTAAGCATGAACCAATTGTTAAATATCAGACGATAGTTCACGTGGTATCATCTTCATCAATGAGCGTTTGTCTGTTGTTTTAAAATCAAGCTACCCTAACGCTCCAGACAGTTCAGCTTGGTCGGCGACGGAGTGAACTACAACAGACTATCTCAGCTCGCAATCCAGTTTTGAGAATCAAGTGGTTTATCCTCAACATGTCTCTTTCAAAGCAGGTTAGTGAATTCTTGAAACCAAGTAAAGAGTGTCAAACTTACCTCGGTAACAAAGAATAGGGAAGAATCGTCAGGACGCAAGTTGGTATGCCACACCCAAAACATCATCGAACACTGACATCATCGAACACTTAAATCTAATATTATAGTGAAGCAATGATCCTAGCAAGTGAGCTGTAACTTTAGAAATTGCAGGAAAGAATCTTGAAAATATTAGACTTCGACAGGATTCAAACCTGTGCTGCTCAGATACTAGTTGGGCGCGGCATGCTACTAAACAACTAGCGATCGATACGTTGGGAGCAATGGAAACTTTTGAGAGTTTTCTTTCCCATGGAAAATTTTGAACTTCATCTTAATGAAATGAATTTATTCACCTGCGGATGAAAATCAAGGAAAACAATAATCCTCACAGGTGAGCCCTTTTTGATTGTTCCAGCCTGTTTTCAAGTAGAATTGGCAAATGTTGAGGGCACAAAACTTCATCTTCGGTATTGGCCATTATCTATCGACTAAGGGTAGGAGTCGAAGTATTTTGGTTGATTCAGGTAATATTCTTTTGACCTCCTACATGAGCCCCCCCATCATTGCTGTTAACTTCCAGTCAGTTTTGTGTAGCTCCCTCTTTATACTTATGTATATCATTAATGAAACCACGCCGGAAAAAAAATTTGCTAGGCAAAGATAAATGATAGGCTGAACTTGATCGCTTTATTTAGCCAGTTCAAATAGTTACTAAAACAGATCATGCCCCACAGACCACAGACAGAAAAATGCCGTCGTAGTGTGTCGCTATACAAGCTAATCAACCTGCCTTCATTTATCAGTTATGGCTTTTAATTCATTCTGCATGTCTCAAGCTTCCAACTCAACTCGAAGCTAAATTCAGTGCAGTGTTTGATTCCTAAAGCAGTAAAATATTGCAGCACAAGGAAATATTTTAAAAGAAGGCCAAAGACTACGACAATTATGTAGAGAGCCAAATGGTGTGAGGCTCATGATGGACGGGAAATGGGCGTGCCGGCGCATTAATTTACTTCTTGTATCCCAAAAGTCCCCCAACTACTTTTTTTTTGGTTATTTTTGTGTATTTTTACTTTATTTTTGAAATATATCTATAACCTTGCGCTTGCTCTGGGTATAGTATTTTAAAACAAAGTGTATTCAGTGTTATTAACATAATTACGTTTAAGTAAATTGTTTTTATTCAAAATTTCAATGTCACGCGCAACCCAAATTTATTCAGAAATACTTTACATAATGCTTATAAATGCCCATTTCCCATTTGTCACTGAGTGTTCTAATACACCGAAATGCACTAGCCCAGTAAATATTTTTAAAAAATCTTTATATAATATATAATAAGGAACGCAACCGACCGTAATGCACTTGTTAATAACAATAAATTAAAGAAAACAAAATTCTTAAAAACCATGTAAAGTGAGTTTAATAAAAAACAAGTTCCTTTTCCAAGAACAAAGAAAAATGTGCTTACAAGAGAAGAAATTATGTCAAACTTAAATTTAGTACCTTTACCAAGAACAAACATTTTGCGGAAAACCCCGTAACTTTGAGAAGAACAAAACATTCAAAGAAAAAACTTACACCTTTACCAAGATAAATAGTTTACTACAAAACAAAATAAAAGAATATGCAAGTTCTCCTGAAAATTTAGTGAAAAATCTTGAACTGTCACAATATAAATACACTCCAGATGCAATTTTAACACACAAGGGCATTTACCCATATGAATATATGTATAGTTTTGAAAGATTCCCACCTAAAGGAAAATTTTATAGTACACTAAGTGAATATAGTATTACCGATGAAGAATTTATATTTGCATTTCATGTTTACAAAAAATATGAATGTACAATTATTGGTGAATATCATGATATATATTTGAAAACTGACATTTCCTCACTTACAGATGTTTCTAAGAATTTCAGGAGTACGTGCCTTAAATACTATGGTTTAGATCCATCACCTTATCTTTCCGCACCTAATTTTGCCTTCGATGCAATGCTTAAAAGACGAATGTTAAACTCGAGTTGATTGGTAATATTGAAATAGAAAAAACTAGTCAAAAAATGATGGTGGGTGACATAGGCAATCTTGCACATCGACTTGCAAAAGCGAATAATAAATATTTCGTTAATTTTAACGAAAACGAAGATTCTTCTCGTATTATTTATCTTGATGCAGATAATCTTTATGGATGGACACTGATTCAACCATTGCCAGCGGGTAATTTAAGTTTTGTCCATCCATCAAAATTTAAAATTAATAATTATGTTGATAAAGGTGCTATTATTGAATGTGATCCTGTTTTCATTAAACATATATCCTTTAACTGCTAGCTTTCGGCCCTCTTGGCACTGTTCGCAAAAAAAAATTTACGTACAAAAGACTAAGCTAAATTCAAGATAGTTTAACGGTTCTGTTAACAACGGTTCTGTTAACAACGGTTAAACTTTGTTTAAATAACAGTCCCATTGTTTTTAAGAGTTTATTTGGCTAACGCATTTCACTTTATCATTAAAACACTCAAAGATGAATGGGAAATGGGCGTCAATAAGCATTATCAAATGTATTTTTGAATGAAGTTGCATTGCGCGTGACACAAGAATTTTGTTCACAGTTCACAGCTCACAGTTCATTAAAATATAACTTCTGTTAATAAACTAGCTGCGCGTGGCACATTTAAAAACACTGAATACAATTGGTACAAAATAATGTACCCAGAGCATTCGAAAGTTTACAATAATATTTTGAAAATGACAAAAAATCACAGAAAATGTAATTAGAGAAACAAGAAGTAAATTAGTACGCCAGCATGCCCATTTCCCATTAATCAGGCGCACTGAGTTAATTTGATGTGGCGTAAGCTGTGCAGTAGGAGTAGAAATCAATAATTTCTATTGTAATGCGCATGCGCTGGCAGTTAATTAAAATCAGCTTGGGTCTTTGAATTATCAATGTCAGTAGAAAATAGTCGTTTCTTTCCTTTTTACTTATTCAGGTCATTCTAAAAGACATGAATTTGAAATTTGAAATGAAGGGTAGTGTCAATGGACATTACTTTGAGATCGAAGGTGAAGGAAAAGGAAAGCCTTACGAGTAAGTGTCTCTTAAAAGACAGACCACGATGAATTATTTCATTATCATGTATTAAGATTTATTTTTAAACACAGAGTTGATAAGATCAAAGTGCAGTCGTCACATAGGGGCCTGATATCAAAAGTATAAATGATTTTGGGAAATTATCAAAAATGAATAAGGACTTTTTTGAAAAGCAAAGTGAACAAGATCAAAGATTCATATGAAGATTTTCAGCAAAAACTATGTCTTGTTTTTATTCGAGTTTGCAAATTACCTACGGTCTATTACAGTAACGTTTTCATCAGCTCCCATGATCAGGTGAGGTGTAATGGCTGCTGCAGAGCTCAGTCACAGCTAAATTCATTTGTGATACAAATTACCAACAGTCTATGATATCGACCGATTCTTCATCTGCTTCCAGAACCAAGCGAAGTGTAAAGCTACTTCAAATTATCGTATAAAAGCTCAGTCACAGCTAAATTGATTTGCGATACTTTTTTAGGTCATACATGAGCTGTTTCTGAAAATAATTTCCAACACTTTTATCATCTTATTTTAGAGGAGTACAGAAGTCCACTTTTTGGGTCACCAAGGGAGGACCCCTTCCATTTTCCTTTGACATACTGTCGACAGTGTTCAAATATGGAAACAGATGCTTTACTAAGTATCCTGCCGACATGCCTGACTATTTCAAACAAGCATTTCCTGCTGGAATGTCATTTGAAAGGACATTTACATATGAGGATGGAGGAGTTGCTACAGCCAGTGGACACATTTGGTATAAAAGTGATGATTAGTATCGGATTGACACAATAATCTTTAAAATTGATCTTCAAGGTCCTTTTTTTACACGGAGAAGGGAGCGCCCTTTTTGAAAGTGTAACTTAGGTGTGATTCTCCCCAGAACGTTTCTTGTCTAGCTACAGGAGAACAAACATACACAAAAGGCATAATGACCAGAGAATATGCAGACTGCTAAATTTTGAAATAGGCATCTGTGAGAAAATGGATTAAGTTTGAAAAATGTCGTAGCATTATTCTACAGAGTTCATTGCACTCTAGATATGTGACACAGTTACAAGAGTAATTTTACGTATTTTAATTGATATCTCAAATTTTCTTAATTATACAGTCTTGAGGGAAATTGGTTTAAGCACATATCCATGTTTCATGGCGTTAACTTTCCCGCTAACGGACCCATAATGCAAAAGAGGACAATTGGCTGGGACCCTTCCTTTGAGAAAATGACTGTTTCCAACAACATATTGAGAGGTGATGTAACTATGTTCCTACAACTCAAAGGAGGCGGTTATCACAGTTGCCAGTTTCACACTTCTTACAAGTAAGTATTCTGTCTCTGAAAGAGCTCCAACGGTTGAACATCATTCCTTTTGAGCATTTGGATCTCATCTTCTGTGTTTTACGGGATAAAAGCAACCGAAGAGAACCCTGAGATGAAAAAGGCCTTGAGAAAACGGCTTAATACTAATTTCCCTTGTCGATAAAATATTTGGGATGGAATAAGATTCTCCACAAGATACTCATAGTTATCTATTATAATATCCTTTAAAGCTTAGAACGTTCCCTTCCCTGTATTTCTTAGTAAAAGATGTTCGGGGGAAAATAGTCATTATTTATACAAGTAATTGCTGAACTTCACTGTGCCAAAAGCAAAGTTCAAAAGCATTGATGTTCATAAAACAAGTGAAAAACCCAACGCTGATAGGTAACGTAAAACACATATTTTGTATTTTCATAAGTATTCTTTTCCTTTTGCACAGAACAAAGGAGCCGGTCACGCTGCCTCAGAACCACGTCGTAGAACATCACATTGTGAGGACCGACATTGAAGACAAAAAGGTCCTGCTGGAAGAAACTGCTGTGGCTCATGTTAACCCTTTGTAACTGGGATGGAACTATTTTAATCACCTCATTACCTCCGACGTTATTGTAATACGAATCAGGTCGGTTGAAAAATAAAAAAAAAGCATTGATGATCAATTGTGTAATTGTCCTTCTTCCTAGTTAATGGCATTAAGCGAGCCAATTGTTCATCCTTAATATAAAACTTTGTGACTTTAGCACAAAAATAAACAACTCAGAACCTACAGAGTGATTTACATTAACTGAATCCCTAATAGCAGCAACTGATTTACATCTCTGTTTTCGATACGTGGTGGTAAAGTTCAGAATACATCATAACTCCCATACTTTCCGCAGTCAGTTCTTACCAACATGATGCAAGTTTAAAGCGAACGAAAAGAGTTAGATACCCGTGAATACCCAAAATATAAAAGAGGAAATACTGAGGAAGCCAAATAGACGCTACGCTTCTACTTCCTTTTTTTACATTTAGTTCGTTTAAGCAAAAAAGCAGCGGTTAGGAACTGAAATTACACAAGCTACAAAGAGTTAAGACGACTCAGAATGTTACTCAAATACCACTTTTCCTTTGCATACTTATTGAAATACCCTGAATTATAGGTTATATGCGAATTCAAAATGTACACTGCAATTGGTTAGCGAAAAATGTTACATGAGTACATATCGAAGTGATTTCTGGCTGGCACCCCGCTAATACGAGGCACGAATTTGTGGTATCAAGGGAAACCAGTGCCACAAGTACGAGCGTTGCCTTTATCTTTTTCACTGTAGGAGAGCACCTAATGGAGTGGGCATATAGTATCGGCAGCAATATTCCTTGCTTTTTTCCGGGATCGGGCGAAATAATCCCCCTCCTTCATCAGGGCCGTTCGGCCGACTTCCACAGCACTGACCAAGTAGACTGAATGTTTTAGATGTAAAGAGGGCTTTTCACCAGTCTTCATCCTCATTGGACTAGCCTTACATTATCTCCTACCTGGTGAACTAACTTCAATGCCAAAGTTAAAAGATAACTCCTTAAATGTGATTTGATCAGAACAAGTGCGTTTGAATGGGCTTGACCACAAAACCATTTCTATATTAAAGAGACAGTAAACGATTTCATGTCATTTGAAGAAATAGTTGAAAAAAACAGATCGATTTTTCTGTAATCCGATTTAATATACAATGAATAATGTTTCTGCTTAGATCAACCGAGAAGGTTGACTAGAATACTAAAATTAGTGTGGAAAAAATAATGGCATTGGGCTTTTTAAAACTGTTTTGACGAAATATTTATCAGTTCTGTTATTCTATTACACAAATTTTCAAAGCTACACAGCCTTTGCTAAAAAGAGAAAAAGTGGGAAAGGGAACAGTTTCGCGCCACTTGAAAAGATAGATTGAAAAAACTGATCGATATTCTCTCCTTATTCATCTGAGATCCGATTTAATATAGGTAAAAGATTTCTTCGGTGACTGCCGTTCACCTTTTGAAAGACCGTTTTGACGCAATTATTACTGATCAGTTCTGATGTTCTATTACACAAATTATCAAAACTGCACATCGTAAACCTTTGGCTTTAACTAAGGCGCTAGAGAATTTCAAATGTATTCAACAATTGCTAAAGCGATCGGTCCTTTCAAGCTAGAATACTCGTATTACGTTGAGTTAAATCGCCTGCTTTTGTAAAAACTGATTAAAGCGTCGCATGGAGAGGGCAAAGTTCACAATCAAAAATAAAAACTGCTTTCCATCGAAAGGGAATATTTGTAACCCTTCACGGGAAAACAGGGAATAAGGTACAAGAACGCGTGCAATGACACGACAAGCTAAGCGAGTCACCAATGTCACGGATATGCGCACATTTTATGGCATATTCTATAAGCCTCCCAGCTAGTGTGCTAAGTGTCACGCTTAACGTGCGATATGACTCGAGTGCGAAAAGACGAAGGTCATGCTATAGTCTTTTCCCTAAGTGTAACCCTTTCATTAGTGTTCATTTTGAGTTCATTTCCTTTTTTTTTCGTTAACCAAGAACTCGTCGTAAACAACTCCATCTTGGGTTTCTACATGGTTTCGCCATGCATTGCAACTCTAAGAAGGTGGTGCTCAAAAGAGATGTACTGTCATGATTGTGAAGAAATATTCAGTAAAAAGGAAAAAACGACAACGGTTTCCAAATTATATGAAATTATGAAGAAAAACGAGAGGTACTGAAGTCTAGTGGCACAACACGAAATAACAGCGGCACGAATCACAGAAAAAAAACTAATGTAGTGGGACAAGAGACTGAAATAGAATTTACCGAGTAAAAGCGCTAGGTCATTTTAACTACAATACTCGTTGCATGTGCATCTTGAGGCCTGCTCTACGGAAAGTAACATGATGTACATAAACGGTCGTATGCAGCGAAGGAACAGCAAAAATGTTTAATTTTGTAGTGTAATATAGGTCTGGGGCGGTATTCTTTTTTCCCTTTTTTACGGTTGATAAAAGGATTGATTATTCAGACAAGGTAAACATCGGCTTCATTGAAATCAAACGACTGGTTTCAAAATTTAAACAAATATATATATAGATATATATAGTCGACCCTAACTGACAGTGGCGCTCAAGGGCAACTTGTTGTTTGACAGTTCAAAAGTGTTCTCAGGGTCTCGGGGCAGACCCCAAAATCTATTCAGCAGAACCTGATATAAGTATGTTTCCCTTGTACAGAATTCAGTTTTGACTTCTGAGTGCCGCGGAATTGTCGTCTGAATGCGACTTTTAAATCAGTTTTCAGAAACAAGCGATCCAAACTCGACAATGAACATTGCTCTGGGGCCAAATATTATTTGACAGTTCAAAGCGCAAAAGTTAGTCGTTACGAAACCTCGCTAAGCAGCCCTCATGGGTCCTCTCTATTAAGCCCTTACTACTGGTAGTATTATAGAGAGATGACACTTGTTGCCCCTGAATGGGGAAGATCAGCATGCATTCAAAACATTGTAGAGCCTTCGATGCGATGAGTCAGTAAACAGTCCTAGAGGACGTTTTCATCGGTAAAAGTGATGTTTGCATAAGTAAAGCTTCAATGTCTACTTAAATTTCTTTTTTCGCTAAAGGATGATTGAAAGATGCACACCCTCGCTTGCTGAGCCGCTATGTGAAATTCCTTTGCCTATCGCTTTACGCGTCAATCGGCATTTCTCGTTTTCCTTTTCAATTGAATAATGCAAACATGGGCGGCATTTGATGGTAGTCATATCGATTAAGATTGCACACCCTTGAATACTACGAAAAAAGGATGAAATGCGCAGCATTTAACAGTCTCAACAGCGTTGCTTCAATTGAAAATCAAAATGTAGCTTTTGAAAGTAGTAGACTCATACTGAGAGGAATTAGGATGGGGCAAAAAATTTAGATAAATGTGAATTCTGTAAAATTCCTTTAATATCAATCCTCCTTAACACTCCAGTCAGTTCAGCCTGGTTGGCGGCGGAATGAACTACAGCAGACTATTTCGACGCAAAATCCAGTGAAAAGCAAAGTGAACAAGATCAAAGATGCATAATAAGACTTTCGGTCATAAACTATGAGCCTGTTTTTATCCGCGTTTGCAACTTACCAATAGTCTTTATATGACATCGACTTCTTCATCTGCTTCCAGAATAAAGCGAAGTGGAAAGCTACTGCAAATTATCGTATAAAAGCTCAGTCACAGCTAAATTTATTCGCGATACTTTAATTTCCTACAACTTAACATGAAAGGTTATGCAGTATTTTACTTAAGTTTGAATTATCATGGGCATAACACATTTGGTTCTCCCTAATTTTCGTTTATTTCAGGTCATACAAGAGCCGTTTCTGAAAATAATTTCCAACACCCCTATCATCTTATTCTAGAGGAATACAGAAGTGCACTTATTGGGTCACTAAAGGATGTGCTGTACTTTGATGTACTGTCGTCAGCGTTCAAATATGGAAACAGATGCTTCACCGAACACCCTGCCGACATACCCGACTTTTTCGAACAAGCATTTCCTGCTTGAATGTCATATGAAAGCACCGTTAAAATTTGAGGATGGAGGAGTTGCTACAGCCAGTGGACACTTTAGGTATAAAAGTGATGTTTAGTTTGGGATTAAGATAATACTCTTTAAAAGAAATCTTCAAGGTCATTTTTGCTCGGAGGGAGGAGCGCTCTATTTGATGTGTAACTTTGTTGTCATTCTCCCGAGAACGCGTCCTGTCTAGATACTGAGGAACAAACCTTCACAAAAAGTATAGTGATTAGAGAATATGCAGACTACTGCATTTTCAAATAGGCATCTGTTAGAAAATGGGTTTAATTGGAAAAACGTCGCAGCGGTAATGACAAAATCTAAAAAATAAAAGGCGATAACGCATCATTCTACACAGCACATTGCACTCAAAGTAAATGACACAGCTAAAAGGTTTATTTTATACATTTTTATTGATATCTCAAGTTTCTTAATTTTTACTGTCTCGAGGGCAATTTATCTAAGCTCAGGTGAGAACAGATTATGAGGGTATAGAAGAAGTAACCCTCAGGTATACACTACCCAGGAGGCGCAGAGTGGCCGGACATGTTTAATATTCATACCTCGTTAGCAGATATAAGCATAACAGCAACGCGATGGAACGCGAAATTTGAAAGCCAGCAATCAACATTTTAAAGGAAATGTTGCCAGAAAAGGACGAACACCTAACTTTAATTTTCATTCTAAATGGGTCTCAGTTGGAAAAGTCAACACTTGTAGGTTGCAAAATAAAAATGAAAGTACGCTTACTTAATCGAGACCCTCAGGAGAAGGACACGACTTCTAAAAACTATTGGAAATTTGTGTTAAAAAGTGAACGATTTTGTAGCCGTTTTATATGACAATTCAAAACTGTTTAATTTATAATTTAAATTTCTAGTTTCTGTTCCAACTTTTTATGAACTTGTAACTTGAAGAAGTTTCTTTAAAAAGGAAATTCAGATACTAAGCTTAAATATTAAGAATAGTGGAAAAGGATTTACTTGGAATTT